GACTGAACTCTTTTCCAACAGTTAAACGGAGAAGCTCCAGCTGCCAAAGTGAATCAAAGTCAAGCGCGACATACCGAGTGCTGGCTGTGGAGTTTCTCCAGCAAGGTGTCGTCTGTGGCTTTGGGGAAGTGACTCTCCTCATTCATCAGTGCCAGAAGACCCAGTTTCTATGGAAACACAGATTTAATTACCATCAGCAGTCATCACCATGATTTATATCATCATCATCTTAAATGACTCACCACCTTTGTGCTCTTTTTGTTCAAATCGTGTCTACTCTGATCTCATCACTGCTTTTTTTCCTTGCTTTTGTAAAATAGTATCAGTCTACCACTAAATTAATAATATAACCACCACGCAAGCAATATAACCGCTGTCTCAATGAGGTCAAATCAGTAACTGATACTACCTGCAACTGCACTTTGTTTGCAAGGGATCGTAGAAACACTTCTTTTAATCACCGACACAACAGTATTCGACCGCCACTTCACAAATCTTGAATCATCTGCATACCTTCTCAATCAAATCCAAACATTCTCCATTATCCATCCAGTCGATGTCAGCCCAAACCAGGCCTTCTCTGCAAGACGCAGCAGGAAAAACAAATAAAAGGATTTAGTAGAGCGAATTAATAATAGACACATTTAAAGGCAGGGATGAAAGTACGTCTGGTTTTATGAGTCATTCTAGTCTTTGTCACCTGCACCAGCATGTTTTCATCCCTGACTTCTTCTCATAGAAAGCACAGATTGGTGGAGATCAAACTTAGTTAATTAGTTCATAAGACAAGATTTTTTCTTTAGGACAAATCTTTGTTCTTTTTTTAAAGGAGCATCACGGTTCACTGCTACTCTGGGTCACTCCCAATAAAACAAACCCTCAAGACAAACATGAACAGAGACAAACCATGGATAAATGGAGGTGCTGGGCAACCTATTGATCCCATCAACCTACTTTTCTTTAAAATGAGTGGATATGAAAATGTTTTGTTCAGTTTATGTAAATTATTTGGCAGCATACAAACTGCAAAGATGTTCTGTGATAGCTTAGCTGATGCAAAGCACTGTTTATCCCAGCGTTAAGAACAAGCTTATGTCATATTAAAGGCCTATAAACTTTAATCTTATTTCACACATAACATGACTTCACAATTTTCTCATATTCAAAACATCTTTTGAAAAACATTAGCTAGCAACTAATAAAGAGTCATCACCAACCAAAACAAATGCTATAAGAAATATATCTGGGGCCTGGATCTCCTCCATACCTGCTTCATACCCTGAGGGGCGGGGCTATGGCTCCCCACAC